TCCTAAGCACAGACTGATGTCTTTGCAGACAGAAATCAATGTGTAGTAAAAAGGACAAGGCTGGAACCAGGTTTTGATGTTCATGTTCCGGTGAGAGTGGGCTATTGGGGTTGCAAAAGCACTATATGGGACTTCTCTTTTCAGCCTCATGAGCCTTCTTTGCCCTCCAAGCACTACTCCAAGGTGGGGAAGCAATGGCAGATGGCAATAAATAGGCCCAAGGTTGTCTAGAAAGTGCATAGCAGGGAAAATGACTTAAATTCCCCAAATCAGGACTGCAGCTGCTGCCTTCCTGATATGGTTTTTTTTCCCCATCATAAGCATAGCACAGGGCGACTCTGCCTGGCTCTGGTACCCCTGTAATACCTTTGTCTGAAGGGAAACCATCTCATTGGCTTTATAAGTGTTCCTTAGAAATAGTTGACTCCAAACTAAGGGCAGAAAAGCCTCAGACCCAGAGCAGCCACGAGATGACTGCACCAGGAAATGAAATGTATAGAACACAAAAGCATTTAGGAAGCCTTTTAATATGGCACAAAGGAAGAAGAAAGACATCCAAAGAGTTAGGAAAGGCAACACCATTCCTTGTTAATGAAGAGAGAAGGTAAGCGAATACTGGCCACACATGGCATTAGTAGCACCAGTTAACACTCTTAAGCCCAGTGATACTTCTTGGTGCAAGAGATTTGTTGTTCATTGACAAATTAATTAATTTACCTTTAATTCATGAACTCCAGAAAGACTTGAAAAGGGAGGGAGCTGAGTCCTGGAACCTGATTATCCCCTCTGTGGTGAGGAGCAGTTACTGCTTCTCCACTGCCCAAAGCATAGCCAGGGGGCCATTAGCTCCTGTTTCTGCCCTGAAGGCTCAGGGACCAAGACCTCATCATATCTCATTGCTCATCTTGATCCCAGGCTTTGATTTGAACACACTTCAATCAAATCAACTCCATTAGTTTAGCTTGGTGGGGGGGGGGGGGGGGGATAGGAAGGGTGGTGGTATTTTGGTTTGGGATTTTTCCCTTTTATCCCTAATTTCATTAGAATCATATGGCTCCTCCCATGTGCTGCTTGGACAGATGCTGATCACTGGTACCCTAAATCAAAGGTAAATCTTAGAGGTGGGCAATCCCCGGGAAAATGAACATGCACTGGCTTTGCTGTGAACTGAGAGCGCTTAAGCTGCATGCCTTTATGGGGAAAATTAATTGTATGGATAATTCCCCCTTCCATTTCTATGTGTGGTATCCATGCTGTTTCAATTTCTGCGTGACAAAATGTATTATTGATAGGAACCAGACCTGTGGCTGCTTTAGTACTTAGATATCTAAATACTTGCCTGCAAGTACCATCTATCACTAAAGCGAAAAACCATGTCACTCGCAATGTCCTTTGGGAAGGAGAAAACCACAATTCTTTCAAGGTTTGCCAGTTACTTTACAAGTTAAGCCTGTCAGTTTAGCACTAAATCTTAGACTTAAAATGGTAAAATAAGGGGAAAAAAAAAAAAGAAAGAAAATAAGAAAGGTCCTTGCTTCAAAACTGGAAAACTGAGTTTGTCTGAGATATTTGACGCTTGTATCTGGGACTTGTGACGATTGATTCATGGGTTTGGGAACTGTGTGTGCTGACAGACCTGAGCGTCCTGCCTTTGCTTTGGGAGCATGGATTAGGTCTACCCTAAACAGGCTGAAAGGAAGAGATAGGGAGCAAACAATGGCACTCTCCAGCTTGCCATCACCTCTCAACTGTGAGCAATGGGCTTTGCAAGCAGCCAGCCTTCATCTCCATCGGGGGGCGAGGGTTTCCCTACCCTCTATGCAGCCACATGCAGAGATGCAGAGATCACAGAATCAACCAGGCTGGAAAAGCCCTTTAAGCTCATCCAGTCCAACCACTCCCCAGCACTGCCAAGGCCACCACTGACCCATGGCACTGAGGCCTCGTCTACATGGTATGTGAAGGAACGGTGACTCCAGCCCTGCCCTGGGCAGCCTGTTCCAATGCCTGAGCACCCTCTGGGGAAGGAATTGTTCCTCAGCTCCATCTAAACCTGCCCTGGTGCAGCTTGGGGCCGTTTCCTCTTGTCCCATCCCTTGTTCCTTGGGAGCAGAGCCCAGCCCCTCCTGGCTCCATCCTCCTGTCAGGCAGTTCTAGGGAGCAATCAGGTCCCCCCTGAGCCTTCTCTTCTCCAGACTGAACCCCTCAGGTCCCTCAGCCGTTCCCCATCACACTTGTGCTCCAGGCCCTGCACCAGCTCCATTGCCCTTCTCTGGACCCGCTCCAGCACCTCAATGCCTCTCTTGTAGTGAGGGTCCCAGAGCTGAACACAGGATTTGAGGTGCAGCCTCACCAGCGCTGAGAGATAGCTGGAACTGCTCGCAGTCACCCAAATCATCAAGTTAAGACCAAACCTCTTCTTGACCAGTGCTGAAGAAGGGCTGGACAAAAGCATTTCAGAGTATAAAAGCTGGGTTAATGGGGATCAAGAAAGTTGTCGTCGGGCTACTGAAGAAATCCAGAGCATCTCTCTCACAGCACCCAGGAATTTTAATGTTCCTGGGTGTGCACAAGGCACAGAGCAATTTGCTGTTCATGCAGCTTGGCTGTGCTTTCATCTGCTTGTTTTGAAATCAGGAGCTTTGCAGCAGTATGAATTTAATGGGACTTTTTTTTCCACCCTCCTGCTTGTCCCAGCAGGACCCTGGGCTGTGAGAAACAGAAGGGGGAAGAATGAAGCACCAATGTCATCTGTGGTGCTGGCCTGCAAGCGGCAGGATATGCCTATCTGCCCCTGGCAGCTCATCACTGCATCTGCCTTTTAACCTCACATTGGAGCACTGGGGGTGGTACCAGGCACTTAGCAAACATCTGGAAAACAACCACACTGTAAATTTGCAGGACACAAACTCATCACTTTGGCCCTTCCTGTGTGGTTATCCCATGGTAAGCTAGCTGCTGGCATTGCTCTCCCCGCACCGGGCATGTTTAGGACCATAAATCACAGGACCGCACTCACTTGGTTGGGACAGAGCATCACTGGTGCCACTGGTCACCATGTGAAGAAGCATGCTCAGGAATACCTTTGTCCTTTTCCTTTGCAAACACATTAGCATACATAATTTAAAAGATTATCTAGACCTTAAAAGATGCAGTTAGAGGTTCCATCAACAGACCATGTTGACAGACTGGCTCAAGAACCTTTTCAGAACAAGCAATCTGGATCTCTCATCTTGGATATTTGCTGGAGCAACAAGAGGATCAAGCTGGGAAAAGGAAAAGGCTTTATTTACACTGTTGCCTATCAGGAGGGAGACCACAGGGTCTATGTTTGAACGCAGAGGGTAAAAAAATGCTCATTCACAACATGTAATGAAAACCATCTTCTTTTGCCCTCCCACCCTGCCCCTGAGACAGTGTTCACAGAGCTGTCACTTTTCAGTTTCCTTTGTTTGGGTTTACTGGAGAGCAGAAAACTCCATCATTTCACCAATAAAATAGCAGAACCCCACTAAGCCTGGTGAAACAAGAATCAAAATGAGGAGAGTGGAAGAAAAGAAGGGATTGTTTCCCAGGGAAGGTCTAATACCGTTTTAGCTGTTGTTTCTGACAGAGAATAAGTCCTATTTATTTTATTACTCTGAGGGTTCTAATTGTCATCAGACCTTAATTGCATCTTGGCTTGCTTTGCAAAGCAAAGAAAGCAGCAGCCTGTGCTGGCCATTGGATGCAATCATCTGCTCTTTTGATATGCATGTGTGTTTGTCTATTTTTTCCTTTCATCTTTATATATAAACTGGAAAGTAGAAGCTGCTGTGATCCTACTGCACCTGACAGCTTTACAGCCCCTCTTCAAGGGCTGAGGCTCCTGAGACTGAGCCGACAGTGCTGCAGGGGGCTGTGGCTGAAGCTTTCTGAACCAGATACAGCCTTATGAGGTCTTGTTTTACTTCTCCTGCCACCCCTTTTGTCTTGCTGCCATGTTCAGCAGGTGTTTATCTTCCTTTTGTAGCAGATCCTTTTGAAAAGACATCAAAAAGCTTCATTAGGCACAAGAAAAGGGACATTTGCTTAAGCTATATTCATTCCCTTATTACCATATATTATCTTCCATCACTAATGAACAGAAGTGGCCATAAGGGCTGTATTCTTAAAAGCTTAACTGCTTTCAATCAAGTTTCAGAATTGTAGCCAGATGAAACTCTTCTGCTTGTGCTTGAGCACAAGCTGATTTCAGGGGAGCAAAGCAAGTGGCAGCCCAGAGCACATGCAAGCAGCATCCTCCTTTTTGTGTCATTTAAACTCAACAAGGGGCTGCTCAACCAAGGTGTAAAGGAGGAGTGCTGGGAAGCAGAGCAGAGTGAGCTCCCATCAGCCCTGGAAACAGGCTGCTGCTGGCCCAAGGTGGCATCCGGCATCAGCTGCCCAGGAAGGTGCTTACGGGCTGAAGCTTGCCCTTCATTCACCATCCTCCTTCCTTTTTCCCTCAATAATCAGTGCAAGCATCAGTGACAAAAAATGGGAAATTTTGGGGAGATTTTCATAGAATCACACAGTCCCAGCCTGGTTTGGCTTGGAAGGGACCTTAAAGCTCATCCAGTTCCAACCCCCTGCCACAGGCAGGGACACCTTCCACTAGACCAGGTTGCTCCAAGCCCCTGTGTCCAACCTGGCCTTGAACACTGCCAGAGATGGGGCAGCCACAGCTTCTCTGGGCACCCTGTGCCAGTGCCTCAGCACCCTCACAGGGAAGAGCTTCTCCCTTATACCTAACCTGAACTTCCCCTGTTTAAGTTTAAACCCATCACCCCTTTTACTTAATTACCTTCAAGCTCTCCATGAGACTGATTCACTTCCTGGCTTTCCAGGCTGCAGAGGTCCAGCAGTGTCTTGGCTGTTCCTTCATGCACCTCCTTATACAGTGGCTTTGTGTCAGTACATCCCCTTCCCTATGCTGCAAGCATAGGGAAGTTCAGACTGAAGTGGCTGATTTCTGGGGCTGTGGGTTAGCTTTCTAGTACTGCATGAATGCTGGGGACAATTTGTATTTGTATAAATAGATGTTCTGTCTCCTTGGGTTGCTGGGGGTGTGAGGTTTAGCACATTCATTACTCCCAGCATTTTAGGTCTGAAAAGAAACAGAGAAATAATAATCAGACAGTTCTTAATAGCATCCAGGGGATGGAAAGCAACTTCCTCTTCCCCCCCCAAAGCAACAGTGATTCAACACATGAGGGCTGAGTGAGGACAGTCATAGCATTTCAAGAGCAATACCAGTAGCAATGTCTACAGCCCTGTGGCTAAAGCAGCAGTGAAAAAAGGCCTGGGACCAGCTGTACTGTTGAAAATACAGATGCATTCAGGAAGACCATTGCCACAACAGCACTATCAGCTTCACTCTGAGATGGAATCTGTTCAGCACCCCAATTATCCTGGCCCTCACCTAGCCCTGATGAATGAAATAGATTTCATATTGCCTTGGTTGCATCTTATATCTGAAAAGGGTTCACTTCACACTTTTAAACATGTGCTTCAGTCCTCCCTGAAGAGGAAACACATAGAAACATCATGCAGAATCGTCAGGGATGCCAATGCAGGTGAATGCAAAGCTGATCCCTTACTGATTTTGATACAATATAGATCAGTATAGACAAGATAGACAATATAGGTCTTGCAGTAAGTCCTTGTGCTGTGTGGGCACAGAGGGATTCCCAGAGATGCCAGGAGACCAGCAAAGTCCCTTCTTGGTACCTAGGAAAGGATACTTCTGCTGGAAAGAGGATGGGGGTGCAAAGAATGTAGGGTCTCCTGCCACAAGGCCAGTTTTATCCCCAGCCCCGCATGCTATAGACAGCCAAGATGAGAGGTGAGGGGCTCAGGCTGGGAGAATCTGCTGGTTGCAAGATTTCACTTTGCCTGTTGCAGTGGCAGAAGGCAAGCAAGCTACGTGTGGGCTGCACGTTGAGCTGTGTCATTCCTCAAGGCACCGCAACCTTCCTGATTGCATGACTTCATCTCAGTGCTGAAATCTGCTCAATTTATGGGGATTTTCATGCAGCTGGCTCTCATACAGCGTTTCTTTTGTATTTATTTCACATTTTTACATGACTTTTTGCATGATTTTCCTAAATGAGTGACTTTCATAATGCAATGCTTTCTATTTTTGCGATGTGTCCAAGTAATCGTGGGCGAAACACTCCTCTCTGGAACAAAGGGAACTAAATGCTGCCCACATCACGCAATGGGCAAAATCTCTGCAGCATGTCTGGGAACATTCCTTTGTCAGGGACCAAGCAGGCTTTTCAGACACACTCGGTGGGCCAGCCACTGTAATGGCAATACACAGGCTCAACAGTAATGTGATAGGGGGCTTGTGGTAAGAGTTGGGCTGATTTCCTGCTGCATTTTCTCATTCCCAACCTGCTAGCAGTTTGGCATCTCACACACTACCACTGAATGGGGATTCTTGTCCTTGGCTACGCTCTGGGCATGTCTGCTGGGCATGGCTGGAGAACACGGCCTGGCTAAGTCCAACTGCATGCCCAGATGGAGAGGTATCTCTCAGCAAGTTGGGGGAAGTAGATCTTTACATTGTTATTTGGCTGCATAGGGTGTTGGGCATCTACTCTAGGTCATACTTTGCCATGAATGATTGGATGAGATGATCCTTGACGTCCCTTCCAACTGGGGTTCTATGATTCTGTGATCCCTAAGGACAATGCCTGATCGTTATGACACGAGATGTAGTAGAAGGCGCAACAAGTCCTGCAAACATACCCATAAAGGAAGATATTTGCCATATACAGATACTTGGACCTTTTCTGATCCTAAAAAAGGCAGGAATAATGCTGTGCATTTCTGAATGCTATCTTTAGGATCTTCCTCCCTTAACTACTCTACCTGTCTCTACTGACAGGTCTCTCCTGGGCCATCAATCACTGCGCAGCAGTTAGCATTTGCAAGTGCTAGGCCTGTTGTCCACAAATAAGGTTTTAAACTTCTTTTTGTAAGTTTTAATTTTACTGAGCTGTAAAGCCATCTAATTGCAAAGCTCTCCACATGGACAAAATTAGCTTGTCAACCAGGAACCATCACTGTTAGCTGAGTGGGAGATTTGCATGGATAGCTCTCATTAGAGCTAATGCAAATCATATGTGACAAGAGAGTAGACTTCAGAAGAGCTGAATTAAAGAGCATGTGCAGTGAAAAAGAAGTGGGAAACTTGGGTGAAGACTGGGACTGGATGATCTATAGATTAAATAAAGCTGTTCTAATAGCTGCCCCACAGCTTCTAGGATATGGAAGAGGAACTCAACAGAACAATAAACTTTCAATGTGCCCCTTGCACCTCCCTTCTGGTCAACAGAAAACCATTATATGCCACCTGTGGTTGGTGATACCTTGAAGCTTCAGTCAAGGTGGCAGAAGGTGTACAAACACATCAACTGGTTCCAGTCCCAGGGCAGTCATAGTCCAAGACATGGAGGGGGAAGGGTGGTAAGGAGATAACAATGACCATCAAAACCCAACAGGTAACAAACCCAGTTATGAGCAGCAGTTGTTAATTGCACTTAGTTTGCACTTATTGTGCCAAGGACCTATTTTCAGAAGAGAATCTGAAGAAGTCCAGCAAGCTGAATCACTGCACAGCTACCCACTGCTGCAAGAAGATTCTGAGATGTCCTCTTTGCCCTCTGCAAAGTTTAGACTGGATAGAATTAGTGACTTTCAGCCTTTCATTCCAGATTTTGAAGCCTTTACTCTTGCCATCGTAAGGGCAGGTATCTGTCAGGCTCAACAACATAGGCAGACTTGCATGCAACACCTGTACATCTAGGGCACTCTAGCACAATGGTCTAATACAGGTAGTATCCCCAAAGACCCACTTACCCACGGTATCAGATCCAAATACAAGCAGGACCCCGAGTTACAAGCACCCTGAACTGCACCCTGTCCTCCTCAGCACAGCTGAAGAAAACCAGGACACTCCTGGCTGCACATGATAGTGAGAAAAACCACAGGGAAGCCCCAGCTCCAATGGGGATCCATGTTCCTGGGAGCTGTCCAGACATGGAGCAAGAGTACTGTGAAGAGGGAAAGAGCTTCAGCTTAAGATAAGTATTCCAATTTTTCCATAGGGAGCGAAAGCAGGCACGTGAAGAGTGGTTTGGAAAATCCCTCTCTGACTTGCCTGCACTCACACAAGAAGGCGGGAGCAAAGCAGAGACTTGCTTTCCTCTTCATACCACTTTGACTGTGAAGTGTCATTCTCCTGAGAAGCCCACTTGGTTCCTCGCAGAGTCAAGCAGGGATGAGACCCATGGCTCTCCCTTTGGTACGTTGGAAAGCTTTAGGTCAAGACACAAGCTGCTGGAGAACGTTTTGAGCAGGAGCCCTTATGGGCTTCAGCTTAGGAAAGATAGGAATGACTGTAGCATGAACACCCTGCCCTGACACTATCCTGAGCAGTATGCTTGTCCTCCAGGCACAGCTAGTGGTCCCCCACCTCTGTTCTTGCCCATCCCTCCCTTCTGAGAACTGCAGCTCCTGTTCTCTTGCCACTGCTCTAACCAGTTTCTCTTATCAGAGGTGAAGAAGCCTCAAGGCAAACTGAGAGTTCCTCTGTCCTGCTTTTGGCTTTGTGTCTGACCCGAAAAAGGAGAAATGCTGTCCTTCTCATGACTCCTTGGCCAATCCCCTCCAGGTCTTGCCTGCTGACCCAACGCTTTTCAGTCTCCCAGACGCTGACTGCTGCTTTTTCCTGTGCCTTGGTTTATTCTCAGCCACGTCACTTGAAAGGATGAGCAAAGCTGAACATCCTCTACTGTTTTCTTTCAAGTACTTTCTCCAGTCATATCCCTGGGTCCTGTCTCAAGTCAGAGCAAAAGGTGACCAAAACCATTTTTGCTGCTGGCATACACAAGTGTCCCAAAGTGTGACCACTTCCATAAAGTCAAAACCTTCGTGAATGCATTGAAAACATCTTTTCTTCCCTCAAATAATTGTAGCTTCTGAGGAAAAGGAGACTAGCCTGCCCGTTACCATAAACATTTTCCCCTGGGCAGATGCCTTTTTCCCAAGGGAGACCACGAAGCAGAACTGTGGTGGAAAACCAGCATGTTGACAGTGTAATTAATTAATCCTGTCCTAGAACAAATTCTTGGTACATGCTGTAATGAGCCAGCTAAGCATGTTTGTCTACAGGGGAAACAATTAAAACCAAAGTTGCAAAACATACTCTCTTGCAAAACCCTTGCCCAAGAACCCCAAACCTGCAATAGGCTTTGGCTCACACCACAAGAAAAGGTACCTCTGGCTTTATCTTCCACCCAGCACTTCCCTCAGTGCGAAGGGTTTTCAAACCTCACAGCAATATGCTTCAGATGTCACCCAGACGCACTGCAGGTTGGGGGGATGTGGAGGGGAGGCAAGGAAGTGAAGCAATTGGGCCAGCAGATGCCTAAATGCCATTTGATCTGTGCATCTCAGCCACAGTCAGATTTCATCCCTGGAGGAAGACTCCCTCTGACAGCTTCTCCAGCTGTTTGTATCCAAGTTCCCCAGTGGAGGAGCCAGGTGTCCTACCCGAGTGCTCACACATGCACTGTCAGCCACCGGGATGTTAAAGAATGGGTATAAACCTAAACCGAGAGAGCACGCATCAGTCCATCAGGTGCTATCTACCCCATTGCTAGGGGAAAACAGCTTCGGCATGTGCCACAAACATGAAGCTGCCTGTTCCCAGGCTCTCACAGAGCCTGTAATAAGTGCCTTCCCCACACAGTCCTCCTTTCAACTGCCAAAAACAGAGGAGGATGTACCTGGTTTAATTCACTTTAACATGCCTGAGTGTATGCTGACAGTTGCTGTTGCCATTGGAAGGGACTGGCAGAGCTGGGGCTTCAAGGTGAGAATTGCAAAGGAATCAAACTGGAACCATATGGATGAAGCATGAGAAAAACAGGGGGTAAGTTTCATGGCTATTCAAGAGTGACCCTTAGCCCCTGCCTTCATTTCTCACAGTCCTGATGTGCTCCAAATCACCTTTCCAGCATAATTTTCCTTCCCTTTGCACAAGATCACTGTTCACTCTGATGAGACTGTCAAGTGAATGCTTGCATTGTAGTC